AAGTTAAAACGATGTTTATTTTCTAATGGAGTATTTGATTTTTTTTTTGAATAAATTATAATTTATTGATTAATACTTGATGTTTGAGTAGAAAAAGATGAATCCTAGAGAGAGAAAACCAGAGAGATACCCGAACCTGTACCCCACCCCTTTCCCGGCTGATCTCAGGCCACGGAGAAAGGACCTAACCTATCCAGAGAGTCACCCAGTGAGGGAGAGACCAACCCGAACAACCCGAACAACCCAACCCCAACCATACCCTCAGAGAAGTACACTGCAGGGACGAGGGAGGACAGATCGAGAGGACTGGGCGAGAGGACAACGAAGACCTTCTTTCGGTTATGGAAAGGGTGTGCTGGAAAGAGCTACTCCCTTTTTCTTTACCAACTTTCCGGAGGATTGGGAGATGGGAGATATGTGGAGAGTGTTCATCAAGTTTGGGAGAGTGATTCAAGTGTTCATAGCAAAGAAAAGGGATCGAAAAGGCAGACGCTTCGGATTTGTAAGATTCTTGGATCTTAAGGATACCAAGGCAGTGGAATATCAACTGAATCAGATTCAGTTTGGGCAACAAACACTACAAGCAAACCTTGCAAGGTTCTCTATGGACGATGCCCACAAGAGAAGGGAGGAAAATAAGGCACACGAGGATCTGCATCAAAGGAACATAGGTGTAAAGGAAGTTCAGAAAGATAGATCCCAATCGTATGCAGATGTGGTAAAATCGAAACAAGGAGGGACAGAAAGAATGACAAGACCACACTGGGAATGGAAATCGTCAAAACAGGAAGGAGCAAAAAAGACAGAAGGCGAACAATGGTATGGGATAGAAGTGAAAGCAGAGGATGAAGACATCAGAAGGTTGGAGAACAGCTTTGTCGGACAATCAAAGTGTCCAGAAATCATCAGCACATTACAAGACAAATTTGCAATGGAAGGCTATTTCTCAGCTAAGATCACTCCAATGGGGGGTAACTTGGTTTTGATATCAAGTGAGGATGAAGAGGAACTCAAATATCTAGTCAGGGAAGGTCGGGATTGGCTATCACAATGGTTCACAGACATCAGACCATGGACGCCAGAGGAGGTTGCAGCTGAGAGATTTACATGGCTTAGATGCCAAGGAGTGCCACTGCACATTTGGAAGAGTAACTTCTTCGAAACAGTTGCATGCATGTTTGGGAAATTTGTATCGTTGGATGGGAGCACAATCAAAAAGTCCAGGTTAGATGTAGCAAAAGTGTTGATTCTAACACCGCTGCAGGAAAACATCAACAAGACTTTGAAGATTAAAGTAAAAAATCGATTCTTTCAAGTTAGAATCAGTGAGGAAGTAGGAGTGGATAATATATTTACACTTCAATCAGACTTCAATCTCTGTAGAAATGATGATTCCACTTCAGAATCCTGGTCTGAGGGATCAAACTGGGGTGTGGTAGAAGAGGAAGAAAGCTGGGATGACTGGGAAGTAGCCATCGAAAAGGCGGGAACAGAAAAGAATAACAGTGTTGAGCCAAGTCGGCCGGCGGAGCACACACCGGAAGAGGAGAAATTTGAAAAAGTCTCAGAGACGTTAGAGCACTCTGAAGGAACAATTAATGCAAGGCGGCGAATTTCAAATCAACAGAAGGGTGAAAGTCTCGAGGAGAACGGGGTGACAGTGCAATGGATAACTGAGCCAAATTTAAGAAGGAAACAGAACCAGCAAACGACAGAGGAGGTGGAAGAAAACACATCCCACGTGGGCTCATGCCCCCCGGGTTTTAGCCCAAAAAATAGGAAATTGAGCCCAATCATCCCAAAAGGCCCAATAGGACAACCT